TCTACAGGCACACACCTGATCATCTACATTTGCTCTCTTACAACACTAAACTATGTTTTCTACCTTTATCTTGTATCTACCTACCACTTCAGCATTTTATTAAAAATAATAATAATAAAGAGAGAAATGTGGTATCCACATATAAATCAAGTATAAAAATCAAATGAATATTCATATTTGAACTGTTTATAGTTCATAATGCATGATCAAAACCAAAAGCCTCTGTGATGACTGCCCTTGTAATGTTCACCATGTAACTTATTCACTATGTAAGAATTTGTTCTCCATGTAAGAACTTGTTCATTATGCTTCAGAAGATTGGAGACTGACGAAAATTAGGCTTGGGGTGGATTAGTGATTGTGCATTGAGCATTGACCCCCCTATACAAAATTTTATTGTGGTTAACAACCATTTGATCAATAAATATGAGAGATGCCCTCATAAAAAAAAAAAGAAAGAAAGAAAAAAAAGTACACACTTCCAATTGTAAAATAAATAAGTAACCGGGATGTAATGTATAGCATAAGGAATATAGTCAAAATATTGTAACAACTTGGTATGGTGATATCTGGTACCTAGAATTATCATGTATATAAATGTTAAATCACTGTGTTGTACACCTGAAACTAATGTAATACTGTGTGTCAACTACCCTTCAATAAAAAATACTTATCTAAAAAAAAAAACAGATGCCCTGCGCTCTGATAATGGAGGTTGAAAGCAGTACACTGCTTCAGGGAAGAAAATTTACACAGCCTACCTAAGACAAAGATGGTATCTCAGATATATTAGACTATGAAAATCACATGTATTTGAAGCTTTTGGATAAGGAAAAAGATTCAGGAAAAGAACTTCCCTCATCTCCTTACCAGTATTTTTAAATGTTTTAAAATAAAATCTGAAGATTTCTCAGCTTGCCTTCTCCACTTTGTTTCTGTTAGTGGTTGACCCTGCCTGCGTCCGCTGCAGGCCTCTGACTCGGGAGGGCAAACAGAGGCCTCAGGGTGAAGACTTCATGAGATTCCTGCCCATGTTCCTTTCCGATAACCCGAACCCCAAGTGTGGCAAAGGGTAAGTGCCACTGAACCAGTCAAATACGTGCCTTCTTCCCTTTAATTTGGAAAAACTAGGTTTTTCCAGCTGAGGTAGAAACAGTTGTGTGGGGAAGGTCCTCTTCCCCACCCACCCCCACCCCTGTCCTGCTCCTTCTGTGAAAGCATAGAAACCTAAAACACCTTAAAGAAAACTCATTTTCACCTGCTTTTACCCTGGCTTGAGCATTTGTTTCTCTTGCATCCCTGTGTCCTGCCCTCCTGGCTGTACGAATGGATACAGAGTCTCATGCAGGTGGCCAGTGGGCAGAGGACAGGGAGGAACACATGACATTTCAGAAGTGAAGTGATCTGCTCTGTGTGTCCATGGCATGTGGACAGCACGTCTGCTTTGGCAGTGTCATCCTAGATTAAGATTTAGATTCTTTTAGCCCCACTGCTTCTTGACAGGACCTTCCGTATGTGAAGTTATGGGCTGTCTTACTTCCTTATCCAGCCAGGCAGCCAGTTACCTTGGAAACAGGATCACTGGCCCAGACATAGTGAAAATGACTGGAAGTCTGAGGTGGGGAGAGTTGGAAGCTTTTGTAGGAGGAAGATGAGTGCCCACTGGTATGTTAGGTAAATTCTGGCCCTCTCTGTTTTCCATATGAATATATAATTTGACCAGAGTCCCATCAGTTAGTCATATATATCATGTCTATGTTTCTAGACCTACACTAGGTAGCATGGGGAGGCTGTCCCTAAAAATAAAATAGAAGTGTACCTTGCAGCTTGGTCTGCCTGCAGACTGAATGCTTGGCCTACATAAAATATGTCAAAGGAAATTCAGCTTGTATGAAGGCAATAGCCTCCACTTTCAGGAAGCCTCCTATGTGTCCAGCACCTCACACAGACCATTTCATGTACTCACCACACAACCCTGTGAGCAGGTAGTGCTACACTTGTTGCATAAGTGGACGCTGCAGCCCAAATTTAGTGACTTTGTCTGGGGTTCTGTGGCCAACACATGGCAGGGCTGAGGCCAACTTCATGGCTGTCTGACCCCAGGACCTTTGTCCTTTCCTGCCTTCTTTTACACAAACATTGCTAAGCAAATTCTGTATGAAAACACATTGGAGGGTGAGCAAAAGCAGATATAGAATCAACAGCAGCTGTGCACCAAAGAAACCAGAAGCAAAAAGCAGTAACAAAAAGCCAGTATGGGAGACAATAAGCTAAAAGCTTCATCATCCGCTTTCCAGGAGCCTTCCTTTCCCTGAACTTTACAGCCAGGTCTGATGCTGAGCCTAAAGTCAGATGATGTCATTTAGCCTTGAGTTCTCAGACTGTGCAGGTACGCTACTAGGCGTGGCCTTTCTAACCCCACTAAGTCCTCTTTCAGGGGACATGCTGCTTACGCGTCAGCAGTAAACATCCTTGACAATGACACAGATGTTGGAGCCACTTACTTCATGACCTACCACACTGTGCTGCAGACCTCTGCTGACTTTATTGATGCCATGAAAAAAGCCCGCTTGATCGCCAATAACATCACCAAAACCATGGGCCTCACAGGCAGCGCTTACCGTGTGTTCCCATACAGGTTAGCATGGATCTTACAAAAGAGGGTGGCCCAAGTCAGGGCCCACAGCTGGGGGCCCTCTGGCTGGGATACTTGGCTTTCATTCCGAGCCCTCCATCGTGAGCACAGGCACCTGGGTGAGGAGGACCAGGATCGAGCTCCTGCAGGGTCTGTGTGCTGGAGACAGAACTCATGCTCTGGGTGGAGCTCAGTCTGAGCGCCACACCACCACCCAGCACTGAGGGGCCAGCGGGGGCGGCGCTGAGCGGGCGTCCCTGACCGGGACGTGGGTATCTGGCTCTGGTTCCTCAGGATGGTGCTTTCATGGAGGTTTTTCATTTTCGTTTATTGGGGTTTTCACCTTAGGAAGAATGTCTTTTGCAAAGCACTGAATTTGGAAAATACAGAAAAGCAGAAGAAACAAGTGTTTTTCACCCCCACCCCACGATCTCAGTTAAAGGAGTCCTGACCAACAGATACCATCTTTCAGAGTAGTTTCATGGTTTTATGATAGCAGCAGGATGAAAAGCGGAGCTTCCAGAAGCAAGGAGCTGTAACGGAGCCTTTTCCCCTCCTCTGCAGTGTATTCTACGTCTTCTACGAACAGTACCTGACCATCATTGATGATACGGTCTTTAACCTTGGAGTGTCCCTGGGAGCGATCTTCCTGGTGACCATGGTTCTCCTGGGCTGTGACCTGTGGTCTGCGGTGATCATGTGTGTCACCATTGCCATGATCTTGGTGAACATGTTTGGCATCATGTGGCTGTGGGGCATCAGTCTGAATGCAGTTTCACTGGTCAACTTGGTTATGGTGAGTCCCTGTGTGCTCTTTGTCCCCAACTCCTGCATCACTTACACGAGTTGTTTCTTGGGGCAAAAGACCAAGTCCAGCACTTGCTCTTGGCGCATATGTACAGGTAGGATGAGGCTGTGTACGGTTGGGACATGGATGGTGCATATAACAGTGATAATGACTCCATGGTCTCCCTTTGGCTGATCTGCCTTTATTGTTCTGAAGGGTTTGCAGAAACATGTAGCCTAACAACAGCAAGATGATTTTTTAGAAAAAGTTGCCCCTTTCTGGTGGCTTTCTCTGACTGGTACTTACTGGTTCCCATGCAGTTGCCAGGTGCTTTTTAAGTCTTGCAGATGTGAGCATTTGAGAAGTATTCACAGAAAATACAAAGTGTGTCTGTACTTCAGATCTGAACACTACTTTCTGGGTAGGACTCTGAGACCCAAATAAAGAAATGACAATGGTGTGTTGGCTTAGTGAGGGGAACTCTAAGGGGTTTCAGCAACATCCCCTAACAAAGGCATTCTGTAGAAAACTGGAGCATTGGGTGCTGTGTAGAGGAGGGTTCCACAAGTCTCCCAGTACAATTTAAGTTGGTGCGATGGAGGCTTTGTATTTCAAGTTAAAGGAGATGCTCAGGGCTCCTCTACCACTCTGGATCTCCTTGTAACTATCAATCCTGAAAGTTTTGCTGTTTAAGATTTCAACTGGGAAAGCACAGTCATAAAGGAAGTGCTTTGTTTCAGAGCTGTGGCATTTCAGTGGAGTTCTGCAGCCATATAACGAGAGCGTTCACAGTGAGTGTGAAGGGAAGCCGCGTGGAGCGTGCGGAAGAGGCTCTGTCTCACATGGGCAGTTCTGTAAGTAACCTGAGCAGGGTGATCCAGGCAAATTTCAACATTAAGTGCCCATCTTAGCTGTTTCTCAGAAGGGACTTAAAATTCAGGAGGGAAAACAATTTGGGTCCTTTCTTTAGCAGCAGCTTCTAAGGATGACAGGTTTTCAGGCAGTTCATTTAATACCTATATCCTGCCATTCTTTAGAACTATTCCTGTTGGGGAACCCTTCTAGGCAGTGGTACAGTGGAAGCAGGAAAAGCAGAGAAGTCTGATTTGAGAACCAAATCCTTTTCCATTTCAAATCCAGGCCAGCCAGAAGCACTGAAAGGCAGGTGCTGTCACGCCGAGCACCTAGCATGCAGTCTCTGGTCCAGGTCTGGAGAATCATCGTGGTACAACTCCATATTCTGGTGTTAGCTTATCAACCAACTACTTTCCACCATAGAAAACATTGTTAGAGTAACAACTAAAACTTCAAGTATTTAAAATTGCTATGAACCATCGTATTTATCTGAAATATGTTCTTAACTTTAGAGGTAGAATATACAGCTTTTACCCTTTTTTTTTAGACTTATAAGCAGCAAATGAGACAATTTTAGGTAGAACATAGTGCTGCTTACCAGTAACTGGAAGCTGGGGCCCACTACTTTGCACCGTGACTGTTGAGAAAGCCCTGAGGATGTGGTTGATGAAACAGGTTGATCAAAGTGGTTCCTAACACCATCTCTCTTCTTTTAGGTATTCAGTGGCATCACACTAACAAAATTTGGAGGGATTGTGGTGTTGGCCTTTGCCAAATCTCAAATTTTCCAGATATTTTACTTCAGGATGTATTTAGCTATGGTCCTACTGGGAGCCACTCATGGATTAATATTCCTACCTGTTTTACTTAGTTATATAGGTAAGAGTTCTTATTTTTGAATGAGTGGGATGGAGGAAGCATGTTACTAAAGGAAAATTATGATATTTTGAAGCATTCTTCTGAAGTATTTGAACTTGTACTAATGGTCATTTGATAAATAGTACTAAGCAAAAATATTTGAGAGAAAAAAAATCCTCTCTAGGGGCTTCATGATATCTACTTCATTAGTAAACTGCCTAGCACTTTTTCTGGAGGCCTGGCTGGTGCCTGAACAGGGCCCTGAAGGCAGACGATGAGTGGGTTGTGGTGTCCGAGGCCTGGGCAGCTCCTCCCTGGCCTGGAGAGGCGTGACCACCAGTGAATCAAGCCGGTCCTGCCCAGCAGGGCCCTTGAGCTTGCATTTCTCTGGCTCACTGTTCTACAAAATGCTGCCTCTGCTGTTCATCTCTTATTTGGGGACTGTTCTCATCTTTTTACTTCAGTGTCTGTAAACGACCTATGTTTGAGGACAGTACAAATTGATTTATAGCTTTGTCACAAAGTGAAGCATTGAAATAGACTGAGCAAATGAGGGGTCTGGTTTTCTTTACTGTCTGGGGGTAGAAAGGGCAGGGTAATTCTTGTTACATTGTAAATGCTCTCCTTTCTCCTGAAGAAATTATCTATTTTTTCTTTTTATCCCTCACAGGACCGTCAATAAATAAAGCTAAAAGTTTGGCCACTCAAGAGTGATACTGAGGTACAGAGCAAGAAAACTCCAACTCTTAAATTTCTAGCGGTCTTACGGGGCTTGGGGACTTTGAACTGTGCGGGTCAGTCAGTTGGACAATAGCTGCGTGATCAGGACCAAGGTGAACACTAGATGTTACTGAACGTCCAGCTCAGGAATGCAAGGTTGGCTTGTGAAGCAGTATTATTCAACCTGACGGCAGTCCTGGGATGGCTGAGACATCTTGCCGCTCTCCAGGAACGAGAACTAACTCTTCAGCAAGTGGAAGGCAACACTAGGATGACTGATCTGCTCACACTGACACTTTCTAAAGGGCAATCAATGCACTGTTCTTCCTTTTTTTAGGAGTAAGCCATCACACACAAGTTCTATACCATATTTTTAGTGACATATGAGGATGTTTATAAACTTTAACATTTTGTAGTTTAAAGAGCTTTATTGCAATAAATTAACTTTTTACACATTTTTATATATATTAAAAAAAAAAACTAGCAAGTGATTTCAGAATGTTGTAGGCCTCATTAGAGCATGGTCTCCAAAAACCTGTTTGAAAAAAGCAACATGTTCTTCACAGTGTTCTCCTAAAGGAAATACAGATTTAATCCATTAGACATGGCACCAAAAACAAGAAAACCAACACTTTATAGCTCAGAGATGTGTATACTTGGGTCTTAATTTATTTTTCTTTCTGAAAATACATGGCTTTCCTAAGCTTTGTATTTACACAGCTCCTACCATTGCAGCTGGTCAGGCAGCTAATCTTTAGTGGTAATTAATGCCATCTCACACTGCACACTCATTTCCCATCCTAAGGAAGGACGCCCAGATTTCCCAACTTTGGAGATAAAGAGTGATCAGTGTTTCCTGCTTGAAACATTAATAAGCCTCAGGACATTTAAAACCCTTAACTGCTATTTCCTGTTTTGTTTTTCACTTTTGGGAAGGGACTTCTAAGCAGACACACACTGCGCCGACTGCCTGAGTTGGGGCCTGAAAGTCTCCTACCCAGGACACCTCCCCTGCACAGGCCAGGCGCACCTCAGCTCCCATGGGCATACTGACTCCACTCTCCCTACAGTTCCTGGGCTAAGGGTGGGGGTGCTGTTAGAAAGCTCACCCAGGGGCTCTTCCTAAAAGGCTTCCCGCCCACCACCTACCAGTGTTCTCACCACTACTGTGTTCTCACCTGGTGTGAAATGAGGGCTTCCTCGCAGACGCTGGTTTCGCTGTTCAAAAAACCGGAATATAGTGTAGAAAAGCATGTTGTCTTCAGTCTGCTTCGCAGCATCTAAAAATTTCCGTGCAGAAATGTTGTCGTGGCCACCAATGCCCCGGATGAACCTTAAGGCGGCTAACACTTGGTGTTTGGAAAGAAGAACTTCTACTATTTCATCATTGGCTGTCGAAAGTCGCTGGAAGTAAGGAAGAAAAGCCTGGAATGAATGCAAGCAGCAGGAACAGACTTGTGTGCAATTGAAAACTGATGTATCAGTTACCTTCAACATATCCAGAGACAGTTGATGGGCAGGAGGATAAAAACTCTCTAGGGATAACAGCAGACAAGCCTGAAAGACAGATTTTCAGACTTGCTTCAGCATAGGATGTTAGAAAGTTTAATTTTTAATCACAAAATTCTGGTGACACATACCAGCGGCTTTGAGTCACTGAGGACATGGTACTGCAGGAACTGGTGCAGCATATAGAAGAGGTTGTGCTGGACAAGTGTCTTGATGACAAGCTCATGTAGGTAATGCTGAGGACGAAAATGGAAGCAAAGGCCATTTCCCAATCGCCCAACTACAGCAGACTAGCGACTAGGTTTCTGGAGGACTGGGGCTATCCAAACTGATAGGTAAAAGTTTAAGGGAAGCACGTTCTATGTGCTGGTCATAAAACCCAACTTGATATGACAGGCTCATTCCACCTACAAACAAGGTGGGACTGCTGGGACAGTCACTCAGCAGTCTCAGTGTGGGGCCAGTTGAGCATAGAAGAGACAGTCATCCTAGTTAAGGTAATGACTGTGCTTTTATCTTGTAAAAAAAAACCCGCTCCTCTAACTTGGAACAAATACCGATTTCTAGGTACCTGTACCGCAATCTGAAACTGGTTAAGAGAGCGGATATATTCCATCAGGACGGCTATCACAAACTTGGGCGGCAGCTCCTACACAGGGAAGAAGGTGATCTTAGAGACATCACACAGTTGTCCAGGAGATGACATCTAACTGTTTACCCAGCACCGCTTGTTTCCAAGATGAACTGGCCCAGTGTTCTCTCTCTCTGGTTTTAGACAGAATCCTCCAGGACCTCCCCTGTTGATGATCATGTTTAGGCCCAAGTGTTAGAAGCCAAACTTTCAGCATTGCAAGATCCTCACCCAAAGCAACTCGCCATTCTAATCATAGTGAATTACACTGCTTTTCCTCAACCCCCTTCCAGTAAGATCTTGTCCTGAGAATCCGTGGTCCAGGAGAGGCTGATGCACTGTAACCTACCTTCTTCTCTGTGAACACCGACAGGACGTGGGTGTACAGGTCAGACTGGTCAACCACAGCTTGGGTCCGCACCGGCCTTTTGAGAAGTGGACTGTTCCGGCTCTGCCCTGCTTCTACTGCCTAAATAATAAATTACAATTGTGATCTCTGTCATCTTCCAGGTAATGGTGCGTTTGCAGTTAATCGAAAAAGAATCCCTAGCTGCTGTGAACCTAGCATATGGACAGAGGGTGATGCTTCTTAGAAGTATTTTCCTGTGTTGGCTGGGGGAGAGTTAGGAAGTCAGAATTGGTCATCTTGAAAATACACCAATGTTCATGGATGGAACTAAAAAAGCATAAGTCATATTTTCTCTAGACATTTTTTAACCTCTTAAAATAACTCTTCTAATTTTCTTAATCACAGACTTAGCATTTGTTATCTAATAAAAATGAAATGGCTTACTGAATCTGTTTTATGAAACTCTGACCCTACAATAAGTGAGTAGTTCTTAAAAGAAATCTGTATCTGGGTTTTTAAATGGTAGGTACGGCTCCCCAAGTATTACTGAATAGGAAAGCTCTGAGAAGACCCTGATCACCTCACCTAACTCTGTAAAGCAGTTTAGGCCAGCAGATTCTACAGGAGGTGTGAGGGGTGGCCTGAGAATCTGCATTTCTAAGAAGCTTCCTGAGCTCCAGTGTTGCTGGTGGGGGCCACGCTCTTGACTAGTAAGGGCGTATGAAGCCTAAGAGCCACAGAAACTGCCCTTTGCAATGAGAACTGCTGATCCCCACAGCCCAGTACACTAGCAGCAAGACCTGGGAGGCCTGTAGGAGAGCTCAGCCCTCCTCCGGGAGATGTGTGCTGAGGCCACCTAGCCTTCCACAGCCTGTGTCAGTCATTATTCTTGAGGGACTAAAGGGGAGTGGACTTCTGGGTTTTCGTTATTGTTTAAAACCACTTCCATCTTCAGCCTTAGGACTAATCAGATCCTTGAAGTGCAAGAATTCCACTTGTCCAAAACATTTCTTCTTTCTAGCTTCAGAAGATATGAGGCACTAACAGTATGACCCTGGTAAGAAGCCATGTTCACTGTTTCCAGCGACTTCACAACCAACACATGCACCCACTACAGTCAACCCTTGAATCATGTGGGGGTTTGGGATGCCAACACCCCGACACAGTCAGAAATCCACATATGACTTTTGAGTCCTGCAAAACTTTAGTAATAGTCTACTGTTGAACGGAATCCTTACCAATAACAGTATATAATACCAATATATAACCTACAAAATGTGGGCTATATATACTATGTACTATATTCTTATAATAAAACAAGCTAAAGAGAACATTTAACAAATTGTTACAAATCTCCAAAAACTTTTTCAACACATTTATTGAAGAAAATAATGTATAAGTGGAGCCACACAGTTCAAGCTGTGTTGTTCAAGGACCAACTGCATACATGAAAAGCACAGAGCTAATATTTAATCATCCCTATGCTCATAGGGTACTGACTAAATGCTAGGGTAAGTCTTATTTTATAGCTCTGGGACCCTAAAAGTAAAGGAAGATGTGGCAAGATGAGTATATTTCTAATTTACTAAGTCTAGGCTCTGGTTTGACAGAGGTATAAAATAATGCAAAGCTGAGACCAAGTTTCTTATCCATAAAATAGAGGTAAGACCAAGGATCTATGTGTAAGATCAAACAGATTAAAGGTGAGGGCATTAAGTGACATGTGGCCTCAAGCTACTAGGATGCAGGAACAGGAAGTTGCTGCTTCCCCACTCCAGCCACCTTGCCCTCGGGCACACATCAGACCTCAGTGGCATTATTCTAGCACAATCTTGTAGGGGGAGTGTGGGTGAAAGGGGAGGAGCTGTTCATCACAGCACATCTAACTTACCATCGTGTAACTCTGCTCAGCGTCCAGGTACTTTTTATATTCATGATTGAGTTTGTCAAAAACAGTGGCTATCACAGGTAACGTTGCTCTGTCAGACTCACTCAACACTGGAAAGAATGTTCACACAGGTCAACTGACGATGTCTGCCAAACTTCACAACTTAGACGGTCGCTGTGATAGAAATAACTAACCTCAAAGTGCAAACGTACCTTAAAGGGCATTCAGAGAAACAGGGTAGTCAGAGACCTGAAGCCTAGAAATCACCAGCCCCTTCTGGTTACTGCAGGGCTGCTGCCCACCACCCTCACGCACCCATGTGCACATATGCTCAGCTGGAACCATCCTATTTACTCTTTTTACCAAAGTCTTTACATGTCATTTTTGAATTTTGCAACCTTTCAGGGAGTTCAATAATCCATCCCTCAAGTGGAGAATGAGGCTACTGGCTACAGTGGAGGCATGAAAATGTGGCCCGCTCACCAATATGAGGTGCCCAGGCCTAATGCTGGACTCAGACCAGTGAGAAAGGGTTCATCCACTTACTCTGCGAACAGACAGACAGGATGACCATCTTGCAGTCCTTTCTCTGGAGGAGGAAGTCCATCAGTCTTCCTTTATCTGGCAAGAGGTTTACTATGGGCTGAAGTTTCACTTGGAGGTTCCAGAGGTAACCTGGATTTAGGAGGTAGCAAGTTCAACGGTATGACACAAACCAGAACAAAAGCCCGTAAGGTGTTCCCCTGAACGTTCCCAGGGAGGGGGTGGAATGCTGCAAAGCATGGCCTGGGACAGCCAGGACGTGCCTGACCATGGAAGGACTGACGGCCAAACTGCGTGCCTGGTCGGTTCCTTGCCTCAAAGTAACCCTCTGTTCAGAGGTGCATCAATGGTTTAGCTCCCCAAGTATGGAGGGTGACAAGTCTTTACAGTCCCTTCCCCACACCTAGCCCCATTTCCGCCTTGAAGACAGGAAAAGAGGCTGATACGCGGCATTAACTTTGGTCCTGTACTTTGATTTCTCCTGCTTTGGCTCATTTGTCAAAAGGTAACTCTAGAGGCTCCCAGTGGAATTTCATAATTCATCCATTCATCAATCCAAGACTTTCTGGAACACCCACACTGCCAGGTAGGCAGGCAGAGCCTTTCTTAACTGGGGTGCCCCAAGAGAATTAAATGCTACATTATTATCTGAGTGACCCTTTCTCAATCCCTGATGTCTGCTACAGGGCTAGTGCCATTCTAGATGAGAAGTGAATTCACTACATACAGTGGATGTCTAGGGCATCAAGGCCAACTCTCTCCTTGAGAACCCCAGCGGACAAGACAGGAAAGTACACAGGTGACTAAAGGCTAACGTACAAAGTACA